GACGAATATCAACACGTATTTCTCCACTTTAATCACTGATCTGACGAATATCAACACATACCTCTCCACTTTAACCACTGATTTGACGAATATCAACACGTACCTCTCCACTTTAACCACTGATTTGACGAATATCAACACACACCTCTCCACTTTAACCACTGATTTGACGAATATCAACACATACCTCTCCACTTTAACCACTGATTTGACGAATATCAACACACACCTCTCCACTTTAACCACTGATTTGACGAATATCAACACATATCTCCCCATTTTAATCACTGGTTTGAGCATCACTCTTAAAGCACACCAACAGCTGCAAAGTGAGAGCTATGTTTTATTGACAATGAGATGTGAACCATAAATCTTTAGATTCACAGTTCACACATAATAACCACAAGACTCACTAACAATTAGGACAATCTTTACAGAGTGAATATTCAAGAAGTTAGTAGATGTCGTAATAAACTCTTTGTTTATACATCCAAAAAATAACATGGGGATAAAATCTTATGAAAATGTAGCATGTATGTCTGATTAATATTATTACTATTACTGAAAATACGTAATGGAAACAGCTGTTTCTGATCTTTGCATTTTTCTCAGATAATCTGTAACAAAAACCAATTTAGTAAATTCGTCCATATCATATGTGCAATTTTTATGTAAATATGAATGCTAATAATATCTATAGTAATTTATAAAGATAAACTAAATGCCCCAATTTTCTTCTTTATCAGTGATATGTCATATAATTTTTCATTGTCTAACTAAATACTAGCATTAATAATAATATTTTAAAAATACATACTGTATGAGGAAATGTAACTAAAGTGAAAAAAACATACTTTTTATCTTTGAAACGTTCACAACGATGCAAGGGTATGCTCATCAACTCTGTTTCAGTTCCAACGTAGAGAGAACTCTGAAAAGGGAAATTCCCGAGTAAATTAAACAGTTATATTTTATCCAGCAACGTAAACGAACCTAGAATTCTTTGAGCTATACAGAGTAAGAATTAAATTAAACATGATTCTGAATCATACAAGAGAGAGAGAGTATGCAACAATGTTGTGCCTGATCTTCATTAAGTCATACTTTATATGACTTCATTGAAACGAAACAAACAATAAGTTGAAACAGACAATGACCGTAATCACTACAGTTACATTATTTCTAGATTGGATTTTTCTGTAAAATACAAGACTGCAGACAATTATTTTAAAATTAAATACACTTTATTACAATAATGAAACATACACTTATACTGCAAAGGAATTAAAAATTTATAATGACCACCATTTTCTACTTACTTTAAACATGGTCAAGATTAAAAATTACAATATGGAAAAACAGTAAATTTAAAATAAAGAAATGAGGTTTTTGCATCTTTTTACCGTGTCTGTCAAAAGCTTCATAGATATGATCTGCTCTGTGCTGTTAGGAGGAAACACATGTATCACTTCTATTATACATGCCTGGTTAGTCTTGGGAACCAGGATCAATTTCTTTATTATTCCTTCTAAAGTGACCACAAACAAAACATGGATACCTTCAGAGAACTTCGTTGGAACTACATCAACTACAACTTTACTGAACCTAAGAGAAAACAGAAAAAGAACCCGTATTATACAGCAATCAAACATCAAGAAATTCACACAACTCAGTCTGACTTGCGCAATGAAAACTTAGAAATGAAATTATCAAAAACAAAAATATGAAAGGTGAAGTTACTCAGTGTAATTAGATCTGAAGTAATTTTGTGTGCTGTGAAGTAAAAATGAATCATTAGGGTTATATGACAAACTTTCACATGAAAAAATTTATCTTAGACCAGGGCTCAAACCCAAGACCTCTGGCTAACAAGGCCAGTGCTTTACCACTGAGTTACCGAAAAGTACAAACCATTCCCTTTTCTGTTTACCTACAAGTCTTTTTTTTTCTACAAGTATGATCATTACAAGACTTAGAGGTCAGACAATTACCGAGTTGATTTACCACACTACACAAAGTCTACCAACACTTGCACTTATTTCTGTGACTATAATTTAAAATCCTGTTAGGATTCAATGAAAGTACACTCTCCAACATAAACTTATCAGCTTTTTTGCATCAAAATTTACGTTAGAAAGTTTCTTTTTCACTAAACTCTAAGGTGAAAGTATATGTATATATAATTTAATAGAAAGACAAGGCTACATTTACACATTTTTACGAGTAGCATCGATATCCACTCTTGTGTGTTTTCATATAATATTTGTTTAACGATTATATTTTGTGACAACATATGCAGTGATAAAACATTAGCTTTGAAGATGTTTTTCAACATCATATATTGATTACCTAGAAGGTATGAAAACATTTTTAATTTTCTGGATAAAGATAAGAATATCTTCCTGTACACACAAATACTTCCCGTGTTCACTGACCATATGGACTTGTATGTAAAGTGTCAAGGGACTGTTAGTTAACACATGTTTCATAATCCAAAGCTATTAATCTTATCTATGGTGCAAACAAAAAACTCAATATTTACAGTCACTGGAATCGTTGATTGTTTACAAATTCAACATTATGTGGTAATAGGCTTGTTCGTGTTCACTGACCATATGGACTTGTATGTAAAGTGTCAAGGGACTGTTAGTTAACACATGTTTCATAATCCAAAGCTATTAATCTTATCTATGGTGCAAACAAAAAACTCAATATTTACAGTCACTGGAATCGTTGATTGTTTACAAATTCAACATTATGTGGTAATAGGCTTGTTAACAAGCTATAACATTCATGGCTAACAACTCTGGTATTATAGCTCTGACTATTATAACCCTATTGCAATGGAAAACTTAGTATATGTTACTATATCAGTGTAGTCAGAATATATTAAACTGTATAAGGTTTTTCTATAACCACACTTTCACAAGATGGATTTTATAACAGTAAAAATTTATTATATGATGTTACAGAATATGTTACTATATCAGTGTAGTCAGAATACATTGAAATGTATAAGGTTTTTCTATAATCACACTTCCACAAGATGGATTTTATAACAGTAAAAATGTATTATATGATGTTACAGAATGAAAGATCCTACTCCCTCTTCTTCACAAAATAGTAAGACATAAGTCAAGCAAAATTACTATTTATATATTGCTGACAAAATAAAGACGAAATGCTTTGATTCTAAGGTATGTGCGTGTGTGTGCATTGCTGTGGAACGACACCAAATATAACACTTTCGAAGTATTAATACTGATGCCTGAAATCAGATATAATACTTTCCAAATATTACCACTGATACCCGACATCAAATATAACATTTTCCAAGTATTAACGGTGATGACAATTATCAGCTAAAATAATTCAAAACACATCAGGGGCTAAACTATAAAAAGAAATTTCATACACATCGAAATTCATGAAATCCCTGTAGTTTGATTATGTCAACTTGTAAAATGATATCAGCAATTCATAAAAAGAAATAGGTTTTTCCTGAAGAGAAAAAGAAACAATTGTAGGCAGTGGCAAAACAGAAAAAAAAAAAGAGCTTTAAATTTTATTAACTTGCGAGAACTGGCAAGCTGTCAATGTAAACTTTTACCTAACAATGATAATATTAATTAGTTGAGAAAATTTACAACTGAATTTTATTTATATACTTCTAGTATTATACCTCTCAAATTCAGCCATATACACAGGCCTGGAATAGCTGGCTTGTACTGCATCATCCATCAACTTGAAACGATCAGCATCAACAAGATGTTGAGAACTACCAGGAGTTTCACACTGTCACAAACAACCACAGCTAAAAACTAAATACCAAACTAAAGTATAACATTTTTGTAATAACATTGTATTGTCTTTCTTTTCCTAATACACTGAGTAAATTGGTAAAGATTTTTGTTAATTTGGGATTAGAAAGCTACAATTTAAAAACATGTTAGAACAGTAACATGTCTGCAACATCAACCATTTAGAATTAACATTATTAATTAAAATCACTTAATTCAATGTAATACAATCCTTGTTTTAAAACTTTCTACAGCTTTCCATGCCAGATTCTATCTTGAAAGGATTATAAAGTTCACGCAAAGAAAACTGGGAAAAAATTGGTTTTCATAAAATGTAAATATTTAAACAACCAACATAAGAACTAGCTGTTTAAAGAAAATGAAAGTATTATCTGACAATTGTTTGTCTCAGTATGTGCTTAAAATACTTCTGAATATTAAAGAATAATGATTAAAATATAATTCAAAATCAATTTTATAAATAGTATTCATTTTTTAAAAAGATTTTGTTAAAAAAAACTGACTGATTTCAGACAACTGCTCTAAACTTAATCAAACACAAGTTCATGGAAAAACATACATTCATAATACAAGTTGTGGTGGTTTATTTGAGAACTAGGTTACATACTCGAAAATGTTTGTGAGGTCCATTATGTCTTTCCCACTGGGACTTGGGAGTTTCTTGATACTTAAAAGGACCTTCGAATGCTCTCTCTATGTCGGTTAAGTTAAAGACACAAACTGCTGAGCCATAGATGCCAATTCTAAATGAAAAGTAAACTAAATTCTAGCAAACCATCTTATCATACATATTAACCAGTTCCATTCTGAGAGTTGTTTTTTTTTTTTTGTAAAACCAAATGTCAACTTTTAAACTGTTAAAATTTTCACAACAAAATTTTGAAGCCACTGAAGCATTAATCACTGATAAAGAGGAAGATTCATATTATTTAATAAAATAATTATTACAAGAATATATGCTAGTGTATAAAAATAAGCTTTCTTAACTATAAATGAATAGAATAATAAATGTATCTTGCAACATTTCAAAACTTAGAGATTTATCTCTCTCAAAAATCTAAAATTAGGAAAACATAACCTTACATAAGGAAGTTGATACAAAACATTTTTGCCAAAACATCATAGATAAAATTTAGTTTTTTTTTTAATACATAGATGACTAAACTACACAACTTTTCTCAAAAATAGGCACTGCTGAAATGATTATGGTGTTTAAAAAAAAAAAATCAATATTTGAATATTATAAATGAATAATTTAATTTTGTTTTTCAACAGACTAAGCCTGTTCAGGAGTTGTTTGCAGGTTATGCATTTTGTCATTTCTTATCCTTATTTTAATGGTTATTAAATAAGTTTTGAAAAGATTACACCTACTCTGGTGTAGTGAAGATTCCATAGAATAGTCTATTGCTTTCCACATAATGCAAGCTCTTGAGCTCGTCAAAATAGAATGGATATTTTCCTGGAACAGAACAGTTCAGCCGAGCTTTAAGGAAAGTCGTCCAATTATCTTTCAACATGAATTGACCTCCTCTGTCATTCTTGCATACTCTTCCAACACGTGAATAAATTTTCTGGATTATTAATGAATACAGATTATAAAAAGCTAAAAATGTCCAAACTCAATTTTAAAATATTTAATTAAATTATATTTTGCATGACTTGAGAAGCATGGTTTACTGTAGGTAAAAATATTAAACTTTAAATTCACTACAAAAGAAAAGTAATTTTCAGAAGTTTCTAAAAATAAAGTTAAAACAGGATATATATATACAAAAAAGTATTTAAAAAAAATAATGAATTTGAGTCAAACAGTTTTAATGTAATATTTTCTCTTTTAATTTTTTTCTTGTTTAACTCTGGTGAAAATTTTGTTTGGGTTACATAATTCATAATTACTCTGAGAAAAGTACCTATAATAGAAAAAAGTACATAATCGCACTGATATTAACCCTATGAATAAGAAAAAGTATTACATCTATAACACTAAGCTTGCAATGGTTTTTTAAAAAAATCAAAGTAAACAAAACAGTGAACTCCTAAATCCAAAATGACACTACACTGTTTTTAGGTTGGTAATAGATGGTCCTAAGTTATGAAAGTATTCAAATAAAGTTCAGATACACTATAAAATAGAATCTAACCTTGCCACAATTCATATATTCAACTGCCGATTCTCTGAAGAAGAAATACACAAAGCTTCCAATTTCATAGGAAGCAACGAAATTCGGTTCTGGAATAAAATATAAAAAATTGTAAAAAGATATACGTGTTGTTAATATTTGTGTTAATTGTGGTTATTTGAACATCAATAATTTCATAAACAAGATCACAAGTAACCTAGAATGTATTTGAGTTCAGCAAGATCAGTAAAAAAAACAAAAACCATTCCTTTACTGTAGTTTCCCATAGATGTGGTATGGTGGAGCAGGAGGAAGTATCATGAGAGTGGGACGCAATCGAACTTTTATACTTGTTAATGTGGTAATATCTCGTCACGTACAAAGTGTAAAGGAGGCGAGTTAAAAAAAAAAAGTCACATTTTGTATCATTTCTAAATTACATAGTATTGCAAGAGAAAGTAAAAGTTACTTTCCAGTATGAAATTTAAATCCAGGCTGTAGAGTTGATGTTTCCCTATGTAACTGAAATCCAGTTAAAACTTAAGTATTGATTCACATGGAAAAAGATTTGAAGTAACTTACCACTTAGCCATTTACCATCATATTGGACTGTTCGTATGTAAGGAACTTTTCCCATTGCACGATAAATGGCTGAATCTCGAGAAGAAAAGTCGAGGGCTGAAGCTATATAATAGTCACCATCCATAGTGAGCAATGCAGATATATTATCGTTAGGATTATGTGGACATTTGGCTATTCCAGGAACTTTTTCGTAAACAGAACTTAATGACTGTATCTACAGTTCAAAGGAAAAAAAAACATAATTGCAAATGATATTACAATAAGAAATATGGCTTGGAGTATACACTTTAAACACTATATTTGTTTAACAAAAATGAAGAATGTGAGAATTAGATATTTATTTTCATTAAAAAAAACCCAAATTTTGGGTTTTACATCATAATCTACATAATGTTCACTGACAATAGACTAGGTAATTACTTAAACATGGTAACATGCATGGTTTTTACTGACAAAGAGTTCAAAACATCGCACAAAATAAACTAGAAAAAGGTTTAATTTTTGTGTAGGTTTATTCTATATTATCATTTATCCAAATTACTTAAACATGGTAACATGCATGGTTTTTACTGACAAAGAGCTCAAAACATCGCACAAAATAAACTAGAAAAAGGTTTAATTTTTGTGTAGGTTTATTCTATATTATCATTTATCCAAATTACTTAAACAACACATTTTTATTTTCACTAGTCATAAATCAATCCATTATTTTAACTCAGCACTAATCAGTTCTCAAATTTTTCACATTTCGAAAAACAAACAAAAAACCTTTTTGCTTCATCTCAACTCTTAAGGTCAAAGTATAAACTGCATTCTTACAAAAGCTTTTGTTTTATGACTCTAAGGAAAAATTATCATATGAGGATGGATTACGATCACTGAAATGGTTTTTCCCTTGAAAAAAGGAGTTAGAGTAGATGTAATTGAGGTTTTTAAGACTGTTAAGGGAATTAATAGTGTTCGCTGTATCATCTTTTTTTATATTTAATTGGGAGAATAGTAGGACTAGGAGACACAAATACAGATTTTGGCAGGGTTATCTTCAGCTACTAATAACGTAGCTGTCCTTTGAAATGGGTTGCTTTCAAATGCAATGGAAGCAGTAAACTGAAAGAACTTTTAAGGGAAGGCTTGGCAAATAGTTGAATAACGACTGGTTTTGAGGTTTTAATTATACAGTTTAATGGACGGGACAGCCCAGATGGACCAATCGCTGTCCTTAGATGATGTTAGGGAACAAAAGAGAAAGCTCATTTCTGCACTGTATTACTATATTATAATTTCTTTTTTAACTGGCACAAAATTATTACATCATAACTATGAATTCAATACATATCTAGATTCAGATAATAATTATTTGAAACTTAAGAACCTTTTACTAGCCATTAAAAAATGTTAAGTTACTTAATGAGCACCATACTTATGATTTTTAAGATACACAATACTATATCAAGTTACAAATTAATATGCAATTCATTAAAACTTAATTAAATCACAATACTTTTAATCTAAAAAAACGTTGAATAAAAGAAAAACTGACAAGACTTACATCTCTCCAATAGCATTCTGGAGAGAATGCATTAGTTCCACACACAAATATCTTGTCATTATAGGAAAGAAGGACTTTTATAAAATTTCGACAGTCTTCCTGTAGAACAGATACTTCATTTACTACAAATTTAAATGTCAAGATAACAAATAACACTACTAGATGATAGTAAATAAACAGAAAACTAAATAGAAATTTATTCAAATTTTCCTTTAGCCCATTCCTTTTTAGGGGAGGAATGCTAAAAAGAGCATTTCACTAAACAAAAATTTTTTAATATTCATTAACAAAATAGGGAATTTAATAATGATAATAATTATTATTTTGAAAATAGTGTGCTAACTTACATCATCAAAAAGTAATTATAATATTTTAACAATTAAAATATAATTTTATTATACACTAGACAGTCATGTCTCCAGTAGTATTCCATTAGTGCAACAAACAAATTCCTTTGCATTGTGGGAAAAAAGGATGTGCTTAAAGCCAATCAAATTCTTTGTTATAAAAGTTAAAGCTATTTTTCATATATTTTTTTTATCGTGTATATTTTTACTCAAACACTTTTCCAAATTTAGATAAATTGTTTTACTTAACCACTGCTGTTAAGTTAATTTCCATAATTTTCTTCTTCGTTTCATTTACAATATAATGAAATTCAGTAGTATAGCATCTTCAGAACTGGTTTCTGCTGATTTTTTTAATCAAAGAAAACAAAAACTAGTAACAGTACAAATTTAAGGACAAACAGTTTTTATTATTTTATTATATATTCATATCCTTCAAGAAAGTTATTTCCCAGTTTTATATATGTTTAGTTGATGTATGTCTCTCTAATAATGATATGTTACAAATCTGGTTTAATATACATAAATTAATAATAACAAGCCACAGTTTTTGGTCAAGTTATCTTCTGTATATCTAAATATTTGTTCTACGACTGAATCTATGATATTACTGCAATTACAATAATATACATTATGAGAAAATTATTAATTAAGAAACTTTTATAAGCATTTTCTATAAAAATTTCTGTTCTGAATAAAGTTTGAAAATAAATAACTACAAAATATATCAAGTTTATCTTACTACAGATTGTCCCTTTAGCAGACATTCCCTAATTCTTGATTCTAAGGAAGGCAAGTGGGCTTCTTCTATTTTCTTTAGTTTATCAAGGCTGAATCTAAATAGATAGTCACTGCAAACAAAAAAATCAAATTCTGGAAAGAAATACTTCAAAATGGCAAAGATTATAGATTTATATAAAAAATTAATATGTACATAACTCAGCATACTATAAGCACAACATTTGAAAATCCTAGAGAACTTACCATGAAAGTACAAGAAAAATATATTGTATTATATATTCTTTTTTGGATGCAAGAGGTCTATAAAACAGTAAAAAATAATAGAGCTATCTAACAAAATGTTTGATTCAGATATAAAATGAATTATGGTTCTAACTATATTTGAAATTAAGCCCAATAATGATATTAAAAATGAGAGTACCGACTGATGATTTAATACAATAATCTAATCAATACAAGTTATATTATTTATAAGATTATGTATTTTTAGTCAGTTTATTATACTCTGTTGTCTTCATTCATTTTTTAAGGTTTTGATCCACATAATTAATTTACTTTTGAGCAGTTTTTAATAATAATAATTCACACTGTACAAAAATTTATTATATATTTGCCCAAAACTTAAGTTTATTATAGTTTTCTTTTTTTTGGAACAAAAAATATGTCAAACTAATATTTAAAGATCCTTATGACAAGTTGTCATGACGATGCAATGTTGAAATGGTTAGTATCTAACCTATATAAAAGTCAGTGTGTGTCACGTCACGTGACGCTTGATTTCTCGAAATAGGAAGAGTCACAAAAAGCCAAGATG